CCCCCCAGCTTCGTACATCCCCTTCAGGTACTGGAAGGCTGCAATAAGGTTTCCCTGGAGCCTCCTCTTCTCCAGGCTGAACAAGCCCAATTCTCTCAGCCTTTCATCATAGGAGAGGTGCTCCAGCCCTCTGATCATCTTTGTGGCCCTCCTCTGGATTCGTTCCAGCCAGGCGATATCCTTCTGATGTTGTGGGTTCCACAGCTGGACGCAGTACTCCAGGTGGGGTCTCACCAGAGCAGAGTACAGGGGCAGAATCACCTCCCTCGACCTGCTGGCCACACTTCTCCTGATGCAGCCCAGAGTATGGCCAGCTTTCTGGGCTGCCAGCGCACACTGCCGGCTCATGTTCAGCTTTTATTCTACCAGTACCCCTAGTCCTTCTCCTCAGGGCTGCTTTCTATCCATTCTCTGTCCAGCCTGTACTTGTGCTTTGGAATGCCTCGACGCAGGTGCAGGACCTTGCACTTGGCCTTGTTGAAGTCCATAAGGTTGGCAGTGGCCCAGCTCTCCAGCCTGTCCAGGTCCCTCTGGATGGCATCCCTTCCCTCCAGGGTGTCCTCCACACCACACAGCTGTTGTTGAAATCATCCAAAGTATAGCAAGTAGGATCAGTTACCACAGAGGAATGCTGTGCCAGCCTTGGAAGAGCTGAGCACCAGGCTGTTCACACTGCTCCTGCGCTCAGATTGTTACAAAAGGATGTGTCCAGGGAGAGGGGATTACAGGCAGACCTGGCTTCCCAGAAAGGCTATTTTTGTGAACATGTAGGATTAACAATTGCCTCTTCCCCTCTCACTGGTGCTATACATTCCAGACGAGACTCTCAAGAATTACATTCAGCCTTCTTGCCATTTGCCAGCTTCAGCATGAGAACATGGGAAATAATCCATCACTCATGCTTGCAAATTTATTTGTTTGCCATGCTGCCTCTTGCTCATGTAGCTTGAAGCCTGCTTTAGCTATAAATGGACACTTCTAATGAGGCTAAAACACAGACTAGAAACTTAGTAAAGGATCCTTGTGAAAACCTGATGTTACAAGAAGATGAAAGGGAACAGTCTGTTAACTTCAGCTATTCATTATGAAAGGAAGGTCTATTTTATAGCTTAAAAGATGCATGCCAACAAGAAGAAAGCATACAGTGAGAAATGAGTTACTGCAATGATCCTCATTTACCCAGGTTGAATATCTGCAAAGCCAAGGAGGAAACAAGGCAGCAGTCCCTCTGAAGTGTAATGGGCCTGTGACTCGAGTCAGAAAAATAGATAGTAAAAATGTCTCCAAATGTGAGATTGCTTTCTGACTGTTAGCAGAATAATATTTATGCACAGCTCTTTCAGGATGATGATGAGAATGTTATCAGCCACTTATTCTCATTCATCACTGTAGCTGAATTAGACCTAGTATGATAATGATGCATGTACTCATAAACATTCTTACCACTACTGAACATCTTTTCACACAACAAAACAGCTGAGCAATTACCCCTTTTCACACACACAATCAATGCAGAAGAGAGAACCCCTTCACTGAAAATATTTCCCAGTCATCTGGGAAGCAGAGGTAATTCTTGGTTAGGTACTGACTGGTAGTGAATGTGAAAGATGCCAGCCCATGGACACCTCCCTCCACGGAATCACCTCCCAGAATTTACCTTGCAGTGTTAGCAGTATCACTAAATGTGGAAGTAAAGCTTAAACAGTTTTGAATATTGAATTATCCTCTAGATCCTCTAAGATAGTCCCTTCAGGCCAGTCACCAGGAAGATTGGCAGGGGATTGCAAGAAAATTTCAACTTCCTGCTTTGGCATCTTCTGGGGGAGGTTGTCGCATCACCACCGAATTATGCAACACTAGTGGATAATTCACTTAGACATCCTTCTTCATTCTTTACCTTTAAAAACCTTGGCTAACTTCTCAAGTATCCAGGCAGGGTAACATACTAACCTCCTGGCTCAATTCTATTCTGATAACTGATAACTCACTCTGATGCTGGAGGGGGCTTTGAGAAAGATGATGAAAAAAACTAAGTAATGTGCTTTGCCTGCTGAAAAACTGAACACAGGAAGAATACACTTAGTGTCACTACAAATAAGCACCTGAAATATAGTTGAGTTAGTTATTACTGATTTGTTGTGAGCCCCATTACCATGTATTAAAACTCTGACTTAATTTTATTTTAAAACAGTGCTGACCTTTAGGCCAGAGTTTTTGCGCATCCGGAGACGACCCATCCACATGTCTGTGAGTAGCATTTGGCTGCAAGTGTGAGCAATGAAGTCCCTGTGCTTGGCTGCCACTGCGAGCTGTAAGCATGTGGCATTGCTCCAGTTCTTCAGCTCGTAGGTCAGCAGTTTCATTGCCAGTTGCTCGTCCTGCTTGTACGACTGGTCCAACAGCTCCACAGCCAACTGGCCAAAGTCCCTGCAACAGAAGGACATTTGCTCATTTCCATTAGCCCAAGCAGTCTGCTGTAGAAAGCACCCCTCTGCAACTGACAGCCTCTGCAAGAGGGACATCACCTTCCATCATGCAAATCGTCATGTTGACTGTACACATGGAAACTCACATTTTCAAATGTGACTGGCTAATGGTAGGCATATAAATAAGTGCCCTGACTTAGCAGTGATGAGCACCCACACCTACCAGCTGTCTGCTCCCACCTGCCTGCCCACCTCCCTGACATTTTCTAGTTGAAATCTTCTGGTTATCTGCAGCTTAGAGGATTGCTTCCGTGCTGTTTGCTCATGTCTTCACAGACAAGTCTCCTGGAAGAAGGGATGTCCAGTACGCTTTTTAAAATTTTAACATCAGGAAAGATTATTATGAAATCTAGTATCTTGGCTTGCTCACCTAAGCATGAACTCTTGGCTAATTAACATTTCTGCCTGAATATTATGTTCATAAGAATTTTGACAATTGTTCTGCTTGGAATGAACAGACTGTCTTAAAAAAACACAGAGAAAGGTTGCAGTCTCACTCTTGAGGCCGCAGGGAGAACACATAAACAATCTAGATATTTCATTGCTTTCTTGACACATACTCATTTCAGAAGTTATACTGCTAGCAACCCTGCTTCTCTGGCAGACAGATTGTTTAAATGCCATTTAGACTTTGTCTAAAGGGACTGCATTTTCTCTACAAGTTAGAAATGAAAGCATGGTACAGATAAGCAAATTTCAGGCAGGTTCACCAGCCTCTCTGCCTTCTTTATTTTTTTTTTTAAGGCAGGAAAGTGTACATGAAAGAAAATTCACCTGGAATTATGGTTCAGCTCTTGGGATATGTCATCCACCATATCATTTTCTGATGCTTCATGGGCCATGGCTTTGCAGAGCTTACAGGCCACCAGTGCTTTAGCCATAGCCTCTTCCCCATGCTGCCAGAAGAACAGAGCCATCTTCTGACGCTTCATCAGAACAGCCCACACCATCAGCTCATGGAATGGGAAGGGGAAATGATTGATCTCAGGGTCATCCAAATCAATATCAACTTCTTCTTCTCTTTTTTTTGTTGTTTTTCTCCCTTGCCGCAAAGGGACATCATCCTGTGAAAGTTGTAGAGAATTCTTTTTTGCCAGTGAAGGAACTGAATCAATTTACACAATGCATTGGAGTCAGTACCTAAGACATCAAAAACATTCCCTGCAGGCCAGCCCCTTCAGAATATTTGGACAAAATATTTAACACAGGAAAACAATGTTAAAAGTATTGGTCTGTAATAAAGTAATAAAAAGTATTGCACTGTAATTAAGAAATCAGTAACCTTATACCTAAAGATATGGAAAAAGAGCTTTGGACTATCACACTGAACTATTCCTTCTCCCTAAGAACACATAGCACAATCACACCATATCAAGAACCATTTTGGAAAAGTCACTTCTAAAATAAAGCTAAGGGCTCACTCCAAATATGACATCTGTTGTACTTCATCCATCTTGTTCCATCTCCAGAAAGTACACATCCAGGAAATGTTCTGGTCTGCTGAGGACTTCTTGCCTGTTTATTCTTGTGTTTCTCCTTTTATTTTCACACAAGAGTAGTAATATCCTTTCTTCCCTCCCATTCTGCTTTGTATGCCATGTTTATCCCTCCTTTCTACAGCTTTTCATTGTTTCTATCACCTTTAGTTTCTTTCCCATTTTAGCCTACTGTTTTTATCAGATAAGCTGACCTATTCTGTGCTGTGTCTGTGGACAGCAAAATGAAAGTTGTTGTATAAAAGAAACAAACAAGAAAACACTACTATCTCCTTGAAGCATGGGACTAGCCAAAAGTGTCAACAAAAGCAATACAAATTTTGCCCATGTAAAGATTTCTGCATCATTCTCTGCAACTGCTTCATTTCTCTGAATACGTTTTAAAGTTATATAGTTATCTGACTGAAATTCTGCTTGGTCTGACAGACTGAAACATTTTGCTTAATCTTCATGAAAATCAAAATGATGCACAGAGGAGGCAGAGTCTTATTTTCTCTTGTCTATCCACTAGATTTTTATTAAGAAATGTTTCTTAACCTGGGCCTTGCATAGACAAATTATCTGGACAAAAATACAATTTGTGAGGCACATTTCTCATGCAAAACTTGAAAACAGCTATTGATGCCTTAATTACAGTGAATTTAAATATTATCTTAATATAGCATGTATTTATCAAAGAAGGAAAAGACCTTAAGATTTATCACAGGTTGCCTACCTCCATTCCCAACAGTTTCAGGGCTTTTGGCTGTATATAAAAAAAATAGAGAAATGTTATTTCACCCAGAAGGGTGATGAAAATTACAACTATTTGTGTATATATCCATGTGTGTGTAACATGTCATGTATAGCATATAATAGACACTAGATAATATATATGCAATAGAATGAATTGTAATATAGTATACATATATGCATCAATCAAATAATTACATATATATACTTAATTCAACCTTGAGTTTGACCCTGTTTCACCAAAACACATAACAAAAGACATATATTTGTATTTAGGTACAAATTACAGCTGTTTTGGGGTTGTGATAGTGAAAAAGAGATAGTAATTGTTGCTAAGGCATGAATGGATTTCTCTGGAGTACATCAGTATTATGGCCATTTCCCTGGCACACTTTTAGTGACTGCTGTGCAGCTGCTCTGTATGTTGGTTCAGTATCTGTGAAATTGCTACTCAAATGCTTTTCTTGATGAAGTGACTACAGGAAGGAAGTCTTCCCCATCAGCCGCAACTACAACCTTTCCCCTTTAAAGTGAAGAATGAAAGTGCAGGGAAACAAACAAACCCATTTCAGGTGTTTGGCTGTAACCGTTTCACAGAGCTGGTGCTCTTTATAGATACTTGGAACAATTTTCAGTGGTGTGCATTGCTAGAATCTGAAGTGAGATAGGAAATGAAAATGTGAGGTAAAAATAGGCAAAGAAAGGATACAGATCTTACTGGCAGCAGATTTTTCTTCAGTCTGGATTGGGTTGGTGGCATCGTGGATGCCAATATATATCTTTTATGTTTTTGAAAGGTAGTAAACTTACTTTGGATTCACAGTATTTTAACCTACCAAACATGAAAACCACAAAAGTACTGAATGGTGTTTTTGCCATGAGCGCACTGTCTCTGCTGGGGCCACATCCAGCCAATAAAACCAATTCTGAGTGTGTTTCTTTGTCCTGTTACCTGCAGGCCACCATGAAAAAGATAAGTCATGAGATAGGAAATGGATCTATCAACACAGAAGTCTTTTCAAGTCTAACTCAGGTGCCACGTGATATTACTGGTACAGGTCAAAAGACTTGTGTTTCAAAAGCTGTGGATACTTGTAATCACAGATGTTAGAGCCAAAAGAGACTCCTTTATGCCCTGGTCTCCAACAGGGCATCAGAATCAAGTAATTTTTTAATTAAATTAATAACAGGTAGCTTGTATCAGTGGCTGGCTTGCGCTGTGTTTTAGTGGAATAGCTGCTATGTGCATAATGGAAATGAACCTGTAGACTGAGTAGCGTGTGCATGTGGATCCCTCCAGCCTGGAACCATCAAAGAAGCCATGGTAATCCCTGCTCATGGGTGCAGTCATGTAGATGGCAAATAACTTGTTCCTTACCCTCTTAGGCCCAAATAAATTGTGGTACAGTGTTCTGAACCACTTTCGGGTGTAATTGCAGCGATATGCTCCTCCCATCAGGTACTCTATCACCAAACCAATATCAATCAGACTTATCCGATAATCAGGAGGTAGGTTCCCCTGCAATAAAAATACAAAGGATGGTGGGGGAGGAAGAAGTGCTTATTACTGGCATTGTTAAGTATACTTTATAATGATGTTAGAATAAAACAAATTAAATAGTCAAAAACAGGAATGTTTTATTATCCTGGCTAATTAATTCACCTTAAAATAGATCCAACCAAAACCTGGGTATTCTTGCTTGGAAAGAAAACATAAGTTAAATAAGAAGGTGAAGAACTTGTTGGAAGTAATAGAAGACAATGTCAGTACACAGTACTCATTCTTCAGCTGGGGAAACAAGGAACATTACTGCCAAACAAAAAGCATGAGGATGAGCACATTTGAAAGGTCAGGCACAGTTGCTGGACTCTAGTCCTGCAAGATAGCACCTTTCTGCACCATCTGTCCCCCACAACCCTTATCCTGGCATCTCACACCTCTGCTGGCATGCTTTCGGACTGCCTCATTCTGCACTGCCAAGGCACGATGAAGCGACATCATGCAATACTACTTTATCACATGGAACCAACTCCTGCACAGGATCTTCCTATCCTGCAGCGCTTCTTTCCCATGTTCCAGTGAAGGAAGGGAGGCAGGGCAAGAGCCATTATCTACTTCAGAAGACTTACACAGTCCGTGAGTTATTATTATTGCTAGAGGCCAGGAGAGTCTGTTAGCATTTTTAGTGGGGTTATGTTGCCTTTGCTTAAATTCCACACCCAATATAAGGAAAGCATCTGTATGTATGAAAGCAAGTATGAAAGTTATAATAAACAAAATATCTGGTTAATTCTTTGGGGTTTTGTTCAAGAAGAAAACTACAAGCCTAGCAGTTCTCCTTGATGGTCCCTCCTTGAACTCCCAACATAGTTTACTGAAAGCCCCTCTAAATTGAGTACTATTGCTACCCAATTTCCAAGAGTGCCAGGGAGTCTCTTAAGGAGTGAACTGAGCTTGTGGCAAGTGTCATTACCAGGGTCCTGGAAAAGACATGTACATGCTTGCTCTTCTGTTTATTTTTCTTTCTTGTCTTCTCTTACATGTAACATGTACAATATCTTCAGCATGTACCTTTTATTTTGAAGGGAAGAAGAATGATAAATATGCCCATGTCTTACTGCCATTGTTTTGTAAACTCCCTTGCACATATTTTCCTTCTCTTCACTGTCAAGCTTGAAAATGGCAACACTCCAAAACTTACGGCTTGCAAAGCAATGAAGAAAGATCTCAGTAATAGATTGTCTTTTATTGTATATGAATCTAAATCTACCTTTGATTTAACTGGCCATTTGTATTCTCCAGTAGCAGTAAGCCTGATGCAACATCTAGAAGGCCAGAACAATTTCAGGGTGGGCTGGTCTCACAGATGTGGTGGTCTTGGGTGTCTCTGGTGACAGAAGAACAAAACCCCAGTGTGGGCACATCCGGTCTTCTGTTCGCCCCTTGGGAACTCCACAAGGAAAACTCTGATCCCCTTAAAGGAGGAAAAGGCTAATAGATGGGGAATGATCCCAAATGAAAGTTTGCCTACTTCTCCAAACTACTACCTCTGAATTGTTCGGATGGCAGTTTACAGTTCAGTGAGCTGTTCCCTATCAGAAAAGAAGGCATGATTCAGCAAATTGTGAATAGGTCACCCAGATCTGGATACCTCATTAAGAACCCTGGAGACTTACAGAGGTAAATTATCCTTCTGTGAACTATGAGTTGTAGCCTTGGAAAATGAGAAAATTACTCTGGTAAAAAATTAACTTGTGTAGTTACACTGCAGAAGAACAAGGAAATTGTAATGGTTAGCTTCAAACATTTTCAGTGCACTGTAATAAAATAATCTAATTTTCTATAATGATATACAACACAGATTATAGTTAGCCACTATAATATGTAGCTTTTTTCATGTGGTCATCAAAAGAAAGTTAGAAATTTGCATGGAGCAATTTTGACTGCCATGTCTTGCTGGAAATCTTTGCATGCCTGCAGATATCTGCCTGGCTTCTCTGCAGATATGCATAATAGATTCAGAGCACAGAAACACTAATGGAAAGCAGATGGCAACTGGTTCTGCAAAAGCAATTAAATGGATGCAAAGATCCTCTTCTATTTCAGCCAGGAAAAGCAATGCTTATTTCCCTTCTCGCTCACCATGGTACAAGCAGTACGCTGAAAGGTTGAGGAAGGACAGGGGCAGACAGCGCTGTGGTGTACCGTGCCTAGCAATGTGCTGGTACAGAAGACCGAACAAATGTAGTGGAAAAGGTGACCTGGCAACTATCTTTCAGTAATGGCCCTCCCTTAGCATATCCTTTTGCACTCTTCCTACTCTTGGCTATTCTGATCGGTGGAAGAATCACTATAGTTTGCAGGAATGTGTATTAACTTTATTTAAACCAGTAATTTTTATTCTTTATTGTTTAAAAAAAATAACATAAATCTAAAAATTAAATCCTGCCAGCTATTTGTTTTTCCCAAAATGTTCTTCTCCCTCCAGCATGCTTAAGGCAATGACAGTTTTACAAAGACAAAGGTGAGTGTACCGGCAAAAGTGGGAGTTGTAGCTCCCAGACAGAGTTGTAGGTGTTCAACAGACTCCTGCTCTCTTAATGTAAGACAGTAAACCAGAATGGTTTGATATTATTAAGTAGCAAAAATAATTGAGCACTTAAGAAAGCACAACAGACATCAGGGTGCTGCACGTGTTAGAAAGCATGAGTTTCTTGATATAGTTCTCAAGAACTATAGATGATATAGATGGGTAAAATTTCATAAAGGGATTTAGAAGTTTCAAATAGAATCACTTTAATAAAAGATGCATCTAAACCTCCTAGAAAATATTGAAACACTTTACTAAAACACCTCACAAATCCACAGTAGAAATACACATTTTATAGATATATGCATCTGTATGGCTCCACGCTAACACACAATTGTTTTTCCGAGGTGGGCAGCCCCAGTAAAGCCAATTGGACTATCCTCATGAGAGGAGTTATGCATGTGCCATAGCATTTACCATATCAGTGGGTACCTTGAATGACCCTGGCAGCAAGTGAGTCTACTTGTATATGAAGCACAGTGGTGCAAGTGGGTCAGAACTCCTCCAAGAATAGCAGAAAATTAGATGGGCTAATTCTAGTACAGCCAAAGTTGACAGGAATAACATTGGAGAAGATTTGATTTGCTTGTATCATAGGTAGCCCTAATCAACTATGCTTTTAATGTTTGGACAAGGTCTTCCATGCTAATGCATTATTCTTTTCCTGAAGAATCTTCAGATTTAAACTGTAGCTAATCTATTGTGGTATTTTTTTACTTGAGGTGTATTTTTATATTCAGCGGGTACCGAATCTCTAATTTTGCATGTTGAAGAAAAAGTATTACTTTCAAAATTCTGTATATAGCTTGTTAGTTCTCTGGAAATGTAGACATACAGTGGCAGTTCAAAATAAAGAACTTCAAAAATTTATATCATTCCAGAGTGGGATTAAGATATGTTGATAATAGAAATTTCTTGGCTTAAAGAAAAGAATTAATCTGTTAATCTCTACTGATCTTCAGTATTTTGGAAAATGACCTGGAAAGGGCAACCTCCACTTATAGACAAGATATAAAGCACAGCCATTATTAATTTCTGCTTGGTATGGATACTTTGGTTTGTAACATCTAGGGAAGGAAGTCAACCCTTCAAATTCTGTACCCTTTACCTGAGCTATCAAAAAGACCATGCTGCAAATGATGCAGGCAGATTTGTCCCCATATGTAGTTAGGGAATTGAGAGAATCAAAAAGAGATGAGCACAGTTGTATCAAAAGTAGAGTCATTAAGAAGGACTTTGTCTTGTTACTATATGCAGAATTTATGCACGCTATGATTAGTGTAATTTAATACTCTGTTTCCAGGCTTTTGCAATATGCTGCCCAGGCTAAGAGCCTTCACAGTGATATTTGGAAGTCCAAAGAAGAACTAGGTTCTTGTCCTATGTGTTTGTGTGTTTAAGTGTGTACCTGCATGCGCACGTGTATATCTGTAAGGTGCCACAAACAGGATGTGGTAATATGACTTCAGTTGTTCACATTCTTTGATTCATTAAGCAGGCAGGATGGAATTTAAAAACTTGCCTAGTGATTTCTACAGCAATGTAATACAATAGTAGTAAATTAAATAATGCTTCTATGATTTGTAAGCATTCATTTTCTATTTAAGAATTCACAATAATGCAGATATAAATAACTTCTATAGTACGCACCCTTTCAAATAGTGCATGTTTTAAAATTGGGATATATGCATAAAAAGCACAGATTATGCATGTTCTTTAAGTGTTGTCTCAAGGTGACATACTACATTTTTTATATTTATATTTTGTGATATGGTAATTAAATCTGAGAGGCTAGATCTCTGTCATCAAAAGATACATAATCTCAAAACTATAGCATCAGCAGTGTGGTCTGGTTTTCACGTGTGGTGGGCCAATTAACTGTCAAATAGTGATGTCCATTAAGAAGCATTTGCAAAGAGGTGTGTTCCTTTAAACTGTTGTCAGATCTGCTGACTGATTTACAGCTCAGTTGACTGGTATCTGGGATCCGCTCAGAACTGTCACTTTTCTGCAAGTGAGATGTAATTGTTTCTCATCACTGACAAAATGAGAAATACAGCCCCAGAGGTTCAGTTTTCTGATGAAGGTGCTACAGGGCTGCACCAGGCTGATTCTTTTTAAAGCCTTTAATTATATTCTAATAAAAGTATACATTGATTTCAAGTAATGAGAATTACTGGAGTATTTAGATATGGACAGGGGAAAGAAAGATGACTTTATGGAAAAATGACCAACACCAACAACACCTAATCACTGTGGAAGAAATAATGTCATTAATTATAGTATAAGTTTATTTAATGTCAATGTCTATAACTATGAGTACTGATCATCTTTCCATATTTTGATGCCTTTTTTCAAACGTTCCTTTAAAAACTCAAAAAAAGATATTATTTAGTCACTCAACATACAAAATGCTATGCCTTTGAAGAAGGACTTGGAAGGGTGATGCTGACAGAGAGAAGTTTGAACAGGAATATTTTTTAAAGTAAGAAGACAGATGATGCTTGTTTCAAACTCTTATAGGCACATCAATAACAAATATTTAGTAGAAGAGGTATTTTGGTAACTTGGGCTTCAAGAGAAGAAATCAGGCTAAATGCATTCTAGCTTTACTCTGCTCCGTCAAGGGGATTTGTGCCTACAAATAGTTTCAGTTTATTCTGTAGGATTTCACACTTTAGAATGGTCACTTAATGTACCATATATAATTGAACAATGATGATGCCATGGAACATACTAACCAAAGAAAGCCACCAAAACCTCCCTAAACATAACTTCTGATTATTCTGTAGCATTATTTAACAGAAAGATGACATATGAAGCATTGCCACTTCCCTGTTGTAATTGTCTTCAGTTCTGCTCAGCTGTCCATGACAGAAGAAACCTGTGCTTTTACAAAAAAATCTCCATTCCTTTTCCAATCTTCTATGTAGTCTCATGTACAGAAAGCTCCTTTCTCAAGTATACTACCCTTGAGGTTTGACTTACATAATGTAATATGCACATGATTTGGGAGAATATTCAAGCTGGTAAGGTCACTTGCAGACTCAATCTCCTTACTTGTTCCATATATTTAAAAGATAAGGCATTTTCATTCATTGCTGCTGCACTTTTAATCCTGAACACATTGCTAAAGGTATTTGGTATCTCCTTTCTGCCACAATACCTTTCTGTGTTTCTGTCCTGCCTTTCTAATGACTCTTCATAATTCAAGATGCTTGAAATTGACGTGATAAGGAGGCAGGGGAAAGTTGCACTACATCTTTTTGTATAATTCTGCTGAGGAAGATGGCTACAAAATAACACACAACACAAAACAAGTAACTTTTTCAACAAACTAGCATCCAGTACAAGGATAAGGACTATTTTACAGGCTGGGAAGAAACCTGACAACATGGAAATTAGCTTTGACAATAGTTGCAGGTATGGAAAAGTACAGATAACAGCATAAATCCACATGGTATGTAAGAGCCTGCAAATACGCTAGTAAAAGTACTATTACCCAAGCATCTAAAACCACAAAGAAAGCAAGCCAAGTAACTTGCTAATTGTGCTTTGTATGCAAAAAAGTTCATATTTGGTACATACAAACACGACGTTCTGTAATGACAGCAGAAAGAGAAGGCTCTGACTGAAAGCTCATGAAAAACAGAGATTATATCTGGCTACAGAAAGCAATCATAGCATTATCTCCAACATACCATGTTTGACTCTTACCTTTTTGACATCCCTGACTAGATGATAGAGAGTGTTTGATGGACCATGTCTCTGTGAAAGACAAATAAAGAAGAATAAAATAATTTTGCATTGTCCAAAGGTCTGCAAGATGTAAATGCAGAAATGCAGTACAAAACCTTTCAGTAAGAAAACCACAAGAACTGCCATGCTAGATGAAAATTAAGGTTGTATGTACCAGATAAGCTCCTCGCTGAGGCAAAGCAAGAGCCCAGCACAATGTGCACAGCATTTGTGAGAGAGTGGAAGGAAAAACAGTTGCTTAAGTGTCAGCCTTCCTGTACTCAGGATCTTCACTCCCACTGTTGGTGGCTTGGAGGGCCTCTGAACCTGACATTGAATCTAGGCTGTTTTGCATGAAAGCTACTAACAGCATGTACAGCCTGTGAATTTGTCCAATCTTCTTTTGACTCCACCTGACACTCAAAATATTCTGCAGCAGACACCCACAATTTCAATTATATGTCATGCAGAGAAGTACTTTCTTTCCTGTTCTGTTTTTTACTGCTACTGATATTTTAAGAGACTTTATGCAAGGTCTCCTGGTCTGTAACTGATGATAGAACCACTACATATGTGCAAAGCCAGAGTTTCCATATATTGCTCTGTACTTACCAACACTTAATTTTATGTGACCCCATCACTGAGCATGATGAGATTTTCCTCTAATTATTCATATGTTGCTTCAGATTTGCCTACCCTGAGTGATGCTAAATTACCTGCAAACATTGTCTCTTCAGTAGTTACTGTTTTTCAGATCATCTCTAAACAGGCTGAATAGCAGTGGTCCTAGGTCTTGGAAGACCCTGGTCATAATATCCTTATGTGGTGAGCACAGACCATGTATTTCTAGTCTCTGTTTACTATCCTTTAAGTAGTTTTTAAACCACAAGTGTCTCTTGTCTTCTATGCCATGACAGCTAAATTTCTTTACTAAACTTTGAGTTTTTCAAATATGGATTTTGCAAAAACAGGTGGACCAAGTACAACATCCTTATTGTCCTGCATGTTGACTTCAGAAGTGGTAACAGATTTCTAAGGCTTAACATCTTCTTGCAGAAGCTGGATAAACTCTTTGTTGACATAAAATTGATCCTCTTGTCTATTAATTCTATTCTTTACTGTATTTTAACTAATTTGCCATGCCAGATTCACTGGCTTGTAGCTTCCCAGGTCACTCTCAGGGTTCATGCTGAAATCTGGTGTTTTTTAACTGTCACACTGGTGTTGCAATTTTTTTGGTGCTAAGGATATTATGGATACATTAGGTCATACATTGTAATTAGTAGTTTAGGTGTTTCACAGACTGGGTCTTTTGGAACTCTTGCATGATAATTTATGACGATTTCTGTAGCTCACAGTAAATTTGTTCAAAAAGGCTTTCTTTTAGCTGTAGAATTGAAGACTGTTTTCAAACTTATTCCCTGTAAAAACTGGTTTTGGAACAAGAATTACAATGCTTCTCCCTGTAGCAAGAAAGCTTATAGACTTTCTGTTCTTAATACATAGATGTTAGTTGATAGGCAAAGTTTAAGCTAATGGGAATCTATCTCAAGGGTGACATGGATACCTCCTATATAAGTTCCTCTGTATTTTGCACAAATTTAATGAACTCTTTTCATATTTGATGTTTTTGAAATACTAACTTCCACTCACCATCAGTTTGAAACATCTCCAGATAACAGTCTAGTGTGGCAACTTATGATGGCAAGGCTTGGAAAAGTACTTTTTGAAAAGGGCTACGTGCTCTATCACAGCCACACTACGACAGACATAACTAGCAATCCTAAGACCTAGACAATGCATTAAGATTTTTTCCATACCACTTAAGAAATTTGAACTTCATAGTTTCTCTTCATAGGCAATAATGACATGAGTCCTGGAATGTGTTTTGAAGTGAGAACTCAGAAACAATTTGAACATTTCCAGCTTTATGTTTAAGAACAAAGACATAAAACTTGCAAACAGGCTTTTAAAAATCAAACCTACCATTTTTGCAACATTTGGTGAGGATATAAGGAAGTCCTTCACTGTAACAGACCATCTGAAATCATCAGATTTCACCTTTAAATTCACGATATTGTCCCGAGATTTTTGCTTTTATTTGTTTTCTAGTGGCTGAGTTTGATTAACAGTTGCAAGAGTTTTCTGCAACCGTAAGAGCATATATCATCAGAAGTCATATATCACTATCTTACAGATCCTAACATGTCACTGTCTTTCAAACAGTGCCACCCGCCTAAATCTTAGGTCTATCATATTGGAATTACAATGACAAGAAATCAGCTGGTACTGTGCAGGGCTTGATCCATGACTTACAAAATCCATACAGCAGGTTAGGTGGGCAAGACACAATGTGTTCCATTATATGAGAGACAAAGCTAAGAGACAGTGGGGACTTATAACATGGAAAATTTCTGCAGCAGGTGTTAGCCGCCTTGTGTGTCATCATGTCATTGTAATATAAGTGGGAGCTAGAACAATGAATACAGAGATAGAAAATTTGCCTTAGGCTGGCCCTACCGTATTGTACAATTCCTCTAGGCGGGAGATCGTGAGAAAACGATGCATGCTTACTCCATTTTCTATGAGTAATTTCACAAAATCCACTCTGTCCAACACCAGTGCATCCAGCATTGCTTGCTCAAGGGACCCCACCTGCAAAGCAAGCAATTAATTCAGGCCATTCCTGGGCATCACAGTATGTATCTGACTGGTCTGGTCACATTGGCACAAGCAGAAAATCCTGACAAAATTCTGAGGTAAACTTAAAATGGGCTAATCATTTGTCTGTATTGATTTCTCTGATTCAAGGCAGTATTTAAAAAATGAGTCAGTGGTAAGAGAAACAGATTAAGACTAAGGATCTGATTAATTTCCTGATCAACGTTTTATTTATATTTGGTATATTTGTTATATGCACACAAGCTCACTTTAACTCTGTCTCTACTTGCTTTTACTAGCTTTTTCCTCTGTCCATGGTGTGGAAACACAGGGAAACTTTGACACCAGGGAAGCAGAAATAGCTTCACAATTAGCATTTCTTTGAAGGGCCAAATAAAGAGGTCTTCTTACGCAAAACCTCCCCTTTTCTATTTCTTTTGGGCTGGGGAGGGTGGGAAGGATGACAAATTATACTTACAGCTTTTAGCTTGCAAAATTGTTGCAACTTACAGCATTTATGTATTCTTTTCTGAGATATGGTGATGGAGTAATAATGATAAGGACAATTTAGTACTATTAAAATCCCTGCTATGTTTTGATGCATACTTATGCCCAGTACTGAAGACAAGATAAATAGTCATGTTCACTCCATAACTGAAAATGCAAGGATTTTTGAAACTAGCTTTAAGGGACAGCAATCTCCAAGAACTACCTTTAGAGCAAAGACATCTGAACAAAAGCTTTTTCTTTTGTTATTATTTTTCCATGGGGAGCTGTAAATGCTCACGTAATTTTCATGGTGGTGACAAAACAAGTGTCACAGTAATGAACATTCTGATCCAATTAAACCTTCCAAATGAAGGTATGGTAGGCTTTAAAGAGCTACAGGTAGAGACTGAGTCCTTCTGCTTTTTTTTTTTTTTTGGTGTTTTGTTGTTGTTGTTTGTTTGTTTGTTTTGTTTGGTTAGGTTTGGTTTGGGTTTTTTTTCTGGGTGTCTTCTACCACTGCAAAAACTGCAGCACAAGTTGGGAGTTGACTACTCCTCCTCTGCCCCACACAGCATTCAATAACGCTTGTATTTACAGCCCTTACACTCCTGCAGAGCAGCTCTGCTCATGGTGTACCCCAGGGTAACAGTGCTGGCCAGGAAGCCTGCCCCCAGCTGGCAGCAGGAGCACAGGATGGGGCAGATGTGAATCAGGCGGATTGATGCAGATCAGGACACGGCATGAAATTAACACCAGGTCAGGTCTGGAGCCACAGAACTTCTGTGGTAACATTGCTGATCAGCTCTCATGGTCCACTTGATGACCTTTGTCATTTGTGCAGTGTATTTTTGTCACCTGTTCATCATTCAGTATTTGTATATAAAAGCATATTGCTTGCAGAGCAAAAAGTTTTGCCTTTCCTTTACTTTATAGCCTAACATTGTAACATGTTTTTCTGTGCTTGCAGAATCATTGCTTGATAATATGAATGTGTTGCTTCCCGAATCTTTAAACATGTGGTCTCTCACTGTTAAGGGTGACATCGCTAGGTGTCACCACTTCCTTGAGCAAGCAAACATACTAACCTCTGGTAACCATGCCTGCCTTCAGTAGCGGTGAATGGGAACTATCTTTGGCTGGGAGCATGACTCAGTATATTTTAAACTGTGTAAAAACAACTGCCGCCAACAGAAGCGATTTAAAGGTGTGTAGGGTTTAAAGTGTTTTCAGCAGATGATTATACATACATATCTGTACCGGCCACTGTTGCCCATAAATAAAGATCTGACTGCGGGCGATGTCTACTCTGTTCCAGGCTAAAGCTAGGCTCAGCTGGTCTGGAGCAGATGCGTTAGCTCCTGTGTATTCAGACAGGGATGTAGGGAGGAGGGGAGGAAAAAAAGAAACAAGACGTATTTTAGACACAGTCAACAGACCACCATGGTAATACCTCTTTGCCAAAAGTCTCACAGATGTTCATGTCATTTCTTCAACTGATCCCATATTAAAACAAATCCAAACTTTCCACTGTCCCTGTAATAAAATACTGGTTCTTAAATCTGAATCTATAGTTCTCAGATTGTCTCATAAACATTAATTATTTCCTCACATCCACCTTGAAAAATACAGTAGGTACACGTATTATCAGCAGATGCAACTTGCAGTGGAGTGAACCTGTCTCCCTCCTCTCAAACAGGAAGCAAGAGCAGAAGCCAGGAGGGATACTGATCCCGCTGCAGGAATACACACATGCGCTTATGAGTGCACTCGTACACACACGTGCATCTAGAAATTATGAACAGGTTGAACTCACAGAGACCCCAGCAATTTTAGTAGTCATGCATTTTATGCACATCTTTTATCCATTCCCACCTGATAGGGTGGGGATCCTGTACAAGCATAGGAATTTCTCCTCTATCTAGTTGTACTAATGGCTCTTGCTGTAACAAATTTCCCTTCACACACGTAATATTCATGTAATGCTATAAAGTTATGCTATAAAACATGCTATAAAGCTCGTGTCAAGGTATAATATATCTGAATTAAATATGAAACTATGCAGATGATAAGATGGGTTTAGAGCTGGTTTTTTTTTTGGAAAGGAGGGTATGTTTTCCCCTGTAGTTTTAATGGACACTCACTGTGAGACATTCCTGCCTTGCTGTACACTTTAAGTATTTCACTAAGGATTTCATAGTTATCAGATGTTTTGTAATAATAAAAGAGTATTTGTGCTTCAGTGCCCCAGGGAGAACTAGCCTGAATGAACTGATCAACCAAACAAGTGAAGGGTCCTTAGACTTTTAACTACATAGCTGCTTGCAGTAATTAGGTGACTGTATGAAGACTCATTTCTTAAAGGCCTCATATCTTCACTTTTCTTGTCTTCACTAATTCTTATACTGATATCATGGAGTGAGGACAAACAAGAGCTTTTTATTACTTTAAAGAATTTTTGTCCCCATTTCAGTACTATGCAAAATCACATACTCTTCCAGCAGAAATTGGACTCTGAAATTAGAGGGACAGAAAACAAGGTATAACATGTTAGCTGCTCAAATTCTCTCTGAAGGATCAGTTCAGCAGACCTTTGGGAAGCTTAGCCTACAGTTTAATTTCATAACTCTAAACTTTGCAGTAAGCTCACTGCCATGAAATTTTGCTAAATACTTCGCAGTATCTACAACAATTATTTGGGAAATCATGGAGTGTAGATTACCCAGATCACTTTCATTTTGCTACAGAAATAAGATCTGATAAAAGGTAAGTGATGCAGCAGCAGAAAGATAGAAAGAAATGAAGAAAAGAAGAAAAGACAGTGAAAAGAGTAAAAAACCTTTCTCTGTCTAAGAAGTAACAGGAACATCCCTTTGCGTAAGACACAGCTTGTCATTGTTTTCTACTATGACAAAAGCTCTCACAGAGATCTCATGGGGGATGCCAACAATGTCAACCTTGGTGCATTTTTTACACAAGCAACATGCAACATTCAAGAACAGAAAATATTTACTTTTGGAAAGAGCAAAAATGTCTCTATAGCTTATTTATAACAACAGAATAAACCTATCTGCAGTCAGTATGATAGTATAAATTAAGTACAGAGAGCAAATAATGTTCTCGCCCTTTCTGAAGCAAACAACAGATCCTCTCAAAATGTCAACTGGATCTCCTCTGTCCCATCCATGTGCCTGCAGGAGAAGTGAGAGCTTCAGCAGGTGCTCAGGCAAGCTGTCTGCTGAACTGTGGAAGAAGAACATGGATGAACTCCAAAACCCAGGGGCAGCAATGGTGATCCCACAGCCTGGTACCGTTCTGCACACGTAATGGAGGAACTCCAGCTCCCAATTTTCTTGAACTGACCTCAACTAGGTCAGTATAGGTAGCCAGGAAGTCTGGGTAGCCAGGGGTGCAACCTGGTTAGAAACCATTTCAGATCAGGGGTGGATCAGGGGTGGATTGGGTCAGGAAGTGGGCTGCTTACATGGACTCTATTTCAGCCAAAACTCATCAAATCATAGAATCATAGAATCATAGAATGGTTAGGGTTGGAAGGGACTTTAAAGATCATCTAGTTCCAACCCCCCTGCCATGGGCAGGGACAAATCATAGATGCTCCAGATGAACAGCTTCTAACCCCTAGCAGAGAGCCATCTCCAGTTTGTGTCAAGTGACCTAGCACTCCTTGGCCTTTTCCTGCTTTATGGAAGACCCAGTTGCAGAATGAACTCAGGGTCTTCTGGTGAATCTGGTCACGTGAAAGAGCAACTAGCGTGGGGCATGAGGTGGTGACAGCATGTCCAGAAAGACACTCAAGCCCAGCAGTTCATCAGAATTGTTCTCTTTGAGCATGCTTATTGCTCCAAATACTGAGCAGAGAGGAAAGGAAGCCATGGACCAGCCTCTGTCCTTCCCACCTCCCTCCATGGTGTTTAAGGCTGCCAGCGGTAGACGAGTTTTCCTATAGTGCATGTGCAGTCATGTAGATGATGCGCTTCTCAGTGCTTTTTACTGTAACAGTTCAGTTCATTGTCTCATAGAGCACTGCAGACATTTGGCAGGTGGAAGAAATATGTGGTTTCTCAAGGGTTTTTTGTACTTCAGGTCCAAACCAGTCCATCAGCTCGGGAGCAGGTTAGGCAATACAGGTCTGCATGCTGAAACTCTGATGCACATGGCAGGATGGCTGGTCCAAGAGCGAGATTTAAAATTAAAGCCCTTGCACCCTTCTCCTCTTTCCTGTCTTCCCTATGTGGTTTCAGGGGAATGTGGATGACACTGGTGTTACGTAACAGGAGAAGAAAAATAAAAACTGTAGAAGTTTGTACAGAGCAGCATATGGGCCACAGATGCCATTTAATCAATTTTATTCCAGGATGGATAGATGACTTCTGACTCAAACAAAAAAGACAGTATTCAGGCCATTTCAAGTAGCTTCTGTCAGGTATTAAGAAGTAAAAATAATTCCAGTAACATAAGAAAAACTCCCTAGCACATATATGAGGGGGGCTTTCTTAAGATACTCTCTCCTTTCAATCATTTCCTTGATTGCATTTGGTGTCACAGAGCATGGATTTGAGTCAGTAACAAGAATCCAAGAAGTGACCTCTCTGAGGACTCATCTCGTTCATGAGTGTCAGTACAAGGTACCAAAATGAAAACTAAAGGATATGTGGGAAACCAAAAAATAAGGTAGGGTTAATAACCTACTGATCTCATTAACTTGATACAGGGATTGCACTCGAACCACTTCTTAGGTCCTTAACATTTCCAGTGGTGAGAAAATAGCACTTACTCTCCCTATATTGCTGTTTTATCCTGTCTCATGGAAAGATTAACTGCCTAGTTGTGTTGTATTGTTTTAATTATTGTAGCATACTTACCACTGTAAATATTGGTTTTAGTCAATATGACTAGTGTCTATGTAATATTTACTCAGTATCGTGGTATCTGGCTAAGCAGAAGATAACTTTCTCAAAAGAATGTTTCAAGACAATATGATTAATGACTGCAGTGGGAGTATTCCTTTCCTTCATCTACTCCTGGAAGAAAAGTTGGATGAAATGCATTGATTTGTCACTATTTTATTTCAGTATAGATATTACTGAATATATATAGATAATGCAAGGATGGTGTGAAGTTGAAGGGACAAGGACTCCTGGGACAGCTGCTGGTTCCTGCCGGTGTTAACTTTATGTTCTTAGGTGGCCATCCAGGAGTGTGCTTGGGTATCTTGCATAGATTTTTCTGGTAAAAAAGTCAGAGGTCTGTCCAACATCTTGGACCAAAAATGCCATGCTCCTTGATGATAAAGCCTAGGACCATAAATTCAATTCTATATCCTACGTGAGCCAGTCATCAGACAATGACTGTTGTGCCCTTGCAGATTCCTAGATTACTGAAGAGAGAGGCTACAGGCTTTTATATACTGGCTAAAGTTCACTATGATCAATGAAAACCTCTAAAGGATCCTCCAGGGACAGCCTATGATACTGAGTGCTCATGAATCTGGAAAGTTGAAATGACAGAAAATTGGTCTACCTAGACAGAAATGGTTGCTGCACACTCCTTTCCACAGTGCTTCTAAGCATGTCAGTGTCCTCTTTGAATCATCATTTAAAGAAAAGAATTAGATTAGGGGTAATAGCAATACAAATTAACTTTCTGCACTGCATCTCAGCAGGTCTTAAATGTCTTCTGTTCCAACAGCTCTTTGGCAAAAAGACTGTGTTGCCACTGCATTTGCTACAATTATCTTCCTGGCATTTAGCCATTCCATTGACAATAACAAAGCTGGTAGTGACAACTATAATGACAGTAACCAGATATCTGTCCTAACTCTGAAATCCTTCTGTGTCAGTGATTTCATGGCTGGCAGACCATCACACTGTCTTCCAGGACCATCTGACACTACATGATGGTTGTTCAGTGAGTATGAATCATGACTTATTCACAGGCTGGAAAGTATGCAGAGACATCATTTCTGCATTAGCATAACATGGCTTATCTCAGGAGGTGACATGGCTGTAATATTACAATATGCATATAACACACAGTGGTTCTTTCCCAATGGTAACAATTGCAGTGGGCAGGCTTCTGGAGTACCAGCTGAAACATGGCTGGTACTTCTAGTATGCTCCAGTCATTGCAACAGCTTCGTGAACTAGGATCTTCAATGCCACTTCAAAACAATTATTTTAGAATATGATAATGCTGTCTTTAACTTCCCTGTCATATGCCTTCTGCTCAATGAGCAGCTGCAAAAAGACAAAATTCATTACTGTTTGACCTCCAACTGTTCAAGTTAAGAAAGCACAAACAGTTAAATTGTATCAATAAATTTACTTGCTGAAAATTCATGCAATTGGAAACTTAATTCCCACATTTGCATGTCTCTTGAAATAAAAAGCAAAACAAAAAAAGGAATTCACAAGCCATATGCTGTTGTGATATCTGTGAAATGTAAATTGATAACCAGTTTTCATGCCATTCCCTAGTTTATTGGAGATCAGTTCCAAGAAAGATAGATACATTGACAAGATTAAAAAAGTGACTCATGAAAACAAACAAGGAAATAATCTCTCATATTCAGTGCAGGGTTTGGGGCTTGTGAAATATCCCATCTAGGAAAGTTCCTGTGTTGGCAGTGTTTCTGATGTAGGTTTAAAAAGAGACTAATTCTCTGCAAATTTTAAACAGCAAACAGGAAATGATATTTTGTGTCTCCCAATCCTTGTCCTTCTCCTACTCCCTGAACAAATCACTCATACCAGGGTGGGAATGGTAATTAGCTTGTATGTGACTAGAATACTGCCTAGCAAGAACTGCAAAATCTTCAGCAGTGAGGCTGAGAAAAACTAACCAATAATCACTCACCAGTTTCATACTTTTCTCTGCCTCCTTTTCACACAGTGCTAAAGAGTTGAAAGAGATTAATTCCTAAATCTAAACTTATGAATTTCAAGATAATTCAATCTGTTTCCTAGTAAATCAATAGACAAGTGGCTCAGCATTGCTAACTTAGATTTCTTGATTTGATGAAGAACCCAACTATGCATCACCCTGACAGGGTACATTTACAGAAAGGTAGTATTGCTTTCAGGGTGAGTCAAAACCTTTCTACAAAGACATCATATGAATATGGACAACTGACTTGACTGAGAAAAGAGATTTCATTTTTGTGCACACTGATTGAAAAGTTAAATGTGCTTTCATTCCCTGTAATCAGAAAACGCAGATTAACAAGAAGCATCCAATAAATCTAATCCTCATTGAGTACCTTCAGAATCAGAAAGTGCTGAGGAACCAGGAAGATGAGGTGTAAGCTGTAGTTCCTCTGGCTCTTGAGCAAGACCCAAGTATTGCATCAGCAGATTACCAAATCAAGATTGTCAGGCAAACATGAAAAGAACTGTCAACATCACATAGATCCAGGCACCTTCTGGTCTAAACAAAGTTCACTACGATGTCTTATACTATTATTATGAAGAAGGAAGGTAATTTTATTTTACTAAGACTATGACAGGCCCAATTAGGCACTGGCAAAATAGATATTCCACATCGAAGAGGAATACTCATACACCCAGGTTGCAATCATACTACAGCTGATCATGTAAATACAGCAAAGAATTTTTCAAATTGAAAACAATCCCGCCTTGTGATTTATTTTTTTCAGATTCCAAGAGGCGGGTTTCAAGATGGTAAAAGACACCAGGGATCTATGTTGGGACCTTGAAAATATATCTAGAAAAAGTAGAATCACAACTTTAAGACAATCTGTATCTTAGTAATAGAGATCAAGAACAGTAGTTTCAGTGAATGTCTTACGAACAAATGTGAAGAGAATACATTTGACACTGAGGATAATGAAAGATACAGTTATATTTATGATAAAAATGAAATCTGCAACTAAAATATTTCCTAGAGGATAGAAAATGTTGATGAATGCAATTCTTGTTCCTTGATTTAAATTAATTCATTTTTCCTCTTCACCTTGATTTATATTTTTTCTGTGTGAATATGTCCAAAATGCCTTCAGATTTAATTATGCAGATGGCTAAAACTGGTTACCTCAGGATTGCAGAAAAATACCAGCAGGATAAAAAACTGGTATCTTGATCAAAATGAACAAGAGAAGTGGAGATACAGAAGCCTAAAGGAACAAAAGCTACTGCAGCAAAATAATTCCAACTCAGTTAATTTGCTAGCAACAATCAGCTTGCAATCATATTTATGAAGTGGCTGTTGCTTTTTTACTCCTCCTGTTCACCCCTTTCTTCTCGTGCAGCTTTTTTGAGCCTGCACAGGAAGAAACTGAGAAGAAAACCGAGCCCTGGAGCATGCAAGAATAATTCCCGTTACCTTTTGAATACCCAGGAAATCTATTAAATATTTTGTTATGAATCAAATTTAGGTCTGGCACATGGCATTATGTACCCTCTTATTCATGTGTGGTGGTGGAAATAGCATGTTGACAACTGCTAAAAAGCCTCATGAAGCATAAATTTCCCCAGTCAGCTTTGGAAGTCCACTCCCTAATGTTTCTCAGCTTGCTCTTTAAAATTGTTCGGTATGTCTCATCACCTGTTTTTAAAATCAGCATGGTCTGGACTACATACACAAAGCAGTCCAGACAGCAACAAGACAACCATGGTGTTTGATACCTGCATACTGGGAAGATCTCATTTGGGGGAATACCATAAAAATCGAGGGCTAGCACCTACCAGCCCTTGGCTAGGTGAGTAATCTGTCACTGGGTAAGTACATGTGCTTCAGAGACTTTAAAATCTCACCTGTTTCTCTATTTGCAAGCAGATATTAAATTATCTGATAGTATCACGATTTGAGGGGAGTCAAGCTAAATGGTGTGTCTTCAAGACCAGGATCTATAATGAACTATAGCAAGAGCAGATTTATTGTAAGACAATTTTTTAAGAGCTTAGCTATAACACGTAATGACAGATTTAGTGACCTGTAAAGTGATCCCTATGACTCCAATAGCTGAGTTCTTAGCTCTACCAGTGGAAGCTGGAAGGAATCCCACACATTTCCCACACTTTTCTAGGATGACTACAGATCACATTTTCCTTTGACAATCATGCCAGTTTTATCTAAAGGGAGATAACCTCCTTCTAGATGTTCTTTTAGCCACCAAGGCAATTTGAGAAGTTCTTTGGCTGTGTTCTTGTGAGTACTAATCTTCTCAAGTAACTGGCGGGGTGTCACCACTTACATTTCTTGTGATGCATTGGTAAATCCAGGTAGAGAATAAAAATTCAGAAAGGAAAAACAGTAGTTGTTTAAACATTAAAGAAAGACTTGGATTTGTATAAAGCAGTTAGAACGTGTACTTCAATATCATAGTATAAATTTACCATCTCGCTAACAGTAGACATGATCAATAAATGCAGACTTCAGCATAGCAAAGACACAGAGTTAATCCATTTGGATTGATACAGACTCACTAAGGAGTGAAAATGCATTACCTTTTAGTAATGCTGTCAGGATAGCTAAATCAATATCCTGGTGTCCTTCTGATCCCATGCGAAATACTGTGATCTGAAAAGACAAGACCATTATTAAAAACAGTGTAATTTTTTAATAAAAGAAATTAAGTTAGGGCATCATCATTTGTATTTCAAAATGTTCAGACGTCTACAGAATGATCTTACTTTATATATTTTACAAGAAGCTTATTTTAGATAGGATTAACACACAGTACTTTTTGCAAGGTAAAATTTGCTAAAGATAGATATTGTATTAATGAGCATATGGAAGGAAAGTCTTCAGTCATACTTGCAGGGTGAAATTAAAGATGAAGGAATGTACTTGTATTACTGTAACATTAGATTTAGTGTTCAAATACGTTACTAGGAGGAATTAGGTGTGCTATAGGATGTGGACCTAATTTATGGCATTGAATAAATACTTTCAACTGAAATTAGCAACTTATTCCACGTCATGATTTTATGCAGCAGAAAATTAGATAAATAACCTAAGAATTAGGCTTCTAATTGTTTCATAAACATCTTTAGCCATGTGTGACCAGGGACCTGTAATTACAAGATATAAGCTTTGAGGCAGTGAGGTGAGATACAGAATTCATAAAAATAAGAATGAATCTTAATCACTGAAAGAACAGTGGGGCTGTTCTTTCAAGCTAGTTTCACTCCTGGTTAAGACCACACTGAATCCTATAGAAGTGTAAATCCCCTCATTCCTTTTATTGCCGTGTCAATAGTTGCTCTTGGGGTTCTGCTTCTTGTGAAGTAACTGAGACTGTGGGTTTTTATTAGTGCCTATCCATTACTCATGAAACCTACGTCATCATTTTGATTGACATACCTGTTATCTGTTTTGTATCTCAAAACACAACAGAAATGTGAAACTGATGAGATCAGCCCCTCCACTGTACATGCTGATGATGCACTTCCCATGTCACAGATGATGAACTGTGCCACAGAAGCTAGAAACCACGCAGGTGGGTCAGGAGGCAGAAGGAAGAAAAGCCTTTCTCCTTTACCCAGTGGTAAAGAGGAATATCTACCTTCTCATGGGTGGCTCTAACAGGTGCTGACAATAAGTGGGTGAATACAGTGTTGGCACATAATAGTCTGATCATAACATCCTCACAGTGCTTTGCAATGTCACACACAATTTTTGCAGCAACAGGGAACCTCTGTAGCACTGAAGGGAAGTCTGACAGTTTGGCAAGCAGATCAGTTAGTGCTGGGAATGTCTTGCCTCACTGCACTTGGTGCCAGCACTACATGGAAAAAAACCCCTTCTCCTCCTTTAAGGCCAAAGGTGAAGCAGTCTGCACAGATTCACACCAGAATTATTATAATTTTGGAGGTCATGCCCAAGAAAAAGGCAAAATATCAAGATACTTAATTTCAAAATGCTGTGAGTTTATTAGCTCAAAGACTCATCTGATACTGTGGACCTTTGCCAGTTCCGAATGCACAGAATCTTTTAGGATGGTAAGCACATATGTTCAGCCTCTCCTTATGGTTTAGGTTAACTGTAACTATCCATGGCTGCTTTCTCTGTGCAACAGATGCACTCCTGTTTGAGCTAACTGAACTTTGATCAGGGCAGACGCTCAGCAAGCAGGCCTAACCAAAGTTAATCCTATTGTCTAAGGCTATCGGCAAAACTCAGCACAAAACACCAGAAAAACAGTTTTGCTGGAGACTGGGCTGAGAAGTGACCAAAACTGCATGAACACAGAAGAAAATCTGACTACAAATCAACCACTTCACACTATCTGCAGCTGTCAGGGTCAATTGACCTCTCCCTCCATAGCAGCTGGCTGTAGTAGATTTTACAGCATTGACTGTCAGTCCATCTGTACTCATTAAATATTTTACACACCTGAATTTACTGAGCAGAGATCAATAAACTTACTGCTACATGAAGATCTGTCTGAGTGATCTCTGACACTTCTCTCAGGGTGCTTTCCTGTCTCAAGTCCTGAACATCATTTTGGACAACCTGCAGCACCTTCCTACTCTTACTCATGCAGGTTTTTTTGAGAAACTTTTCACAGATAGTCATCCTTTGAACTGTTGCCTCTCAACCTGCTGAAACAGCTTTCTATCAATCCAGAACTCATAGGCATGTCTTTGCCTGTCATGGTTTTCCATGGGTTTGGGAAGATCAATTTTTTCTTATTTCCACTATTGTCCTAAAGCTTGACCAATGTTTTTGTTCATTTACAAAGTGAAGGATTTAAAATATGACTGCACTGTAATTAGGTGAGGAGACATTTTTGTCACACTGCTGACAAAATCTTAGTCCTGAACTGCAGCATTCTTCAGGTATAACCTGTTCACCTTGTACCTTTCCCAGCTGTGTTTGTTGCTTACACTATTGGATATCAGAAGTATTTGAATATAGTGACATAGGCTTTTAAATGGCTAAAGGAAAATATTTCAGTACTCATGACTCTGCAGAATGAATTTTGGAAGATGAGGCTTAAAGCTGCAGCATGCTGGCATTTGTATCATCATCTCTTCTACTTTACCTGGCAAAGCCAGATTATTATCAAACCACACAGCTGCAGCATTTGCTCATCTTCAGTAACTATGATCCAAGGGCAAGGCAGTGGCACTTGAGTGTTATCGCTGCTATGTTTTGAGTCCTAGACCAGCAGATTGTGAGGAACACTGAGCATCTCAAGCAGACATGTATTGCTTATTTAATGCAGTTTTATGTTAGGCTTCTGTCAGCCCTGAATGATTCATTAATGAAGAGGCCTGCACATTCCTGCCAGCTTTTCTCATGACTTCTACTGGAAACACATCCCCAGATGCTGCTGCTTTGCTTTTTCCTGTCACAGGTACAAATTCTACATTTGCAATATATTAATCTAGTTTCAAGAGTCATTAATGTATCTGACATCTTGCTAGTTGCCATTTACTGGTGCTCTGGTGGATAAATCACTGCAGAGAACTTAGATCAGTGCTATTAAAATAGGATATTGACTAGTGGTCTCTTAGAATGGGCTACAGATGCTGCTGCACTGATGTACGTAAAACTGCTGTGCTCAAGGAAAATATCTGGGCCAGTAAACTCTATTCCCAGCTGCTTCTTGCTGGATGAATGTCTGTCACTGGGATGCAAAAATAACAGTAAATTAGAGGCATAGAAACCTATTTAACTGATTACTAAGAAAAAAAGAAAAGAAGACAGTGCCTAAGAGTCATTCACCTTCCAGAAGACTTACTGTAGTCATGTTTAAACCTGTTGTTGAGTCCTAGCCTCTGTACAGCTTTAGTGAAAAAACAAAAGTAACAACAACCTAGTAAGGTGTGTATAAAAGGTAGGACATTCAATTATAAAAAACCCCTCAAACCCCAAGAAGTTGGGGTTCAAACATAATACATGCTTAAGATTTGGTTACCCTGCCAAGAGAAAACAAGGGGTAAGAGTTGCAGTATTAGACAGACTACCACTAGCCATTCTTTTGCACTGCTGTGAAAAAAGATTAAACTCAGAAATTTTCTTTGTGCAGATCTGATTTAAACTATATCTACAAAATAGTTTTCTATTTTTCTGAGAATAATGAAATTGTATTATAGAGAAAAAGTACCATTTACACTACTCAGCTATTCCTTTTGAGCTGAAAACCAATTTACTTTAAAAGAAGGAAGAAAAATTCAAAAATCAAGTACTCTTTTTTTTCTCCCAGGGATTTTGGCCACATTATTATTTGCATGTAGCAGGTAGTTTCAATTGTTGATGTTAAGCTCAATTATTTTAAAATAACATTTTTTGTCCGTTCCTTTGCCACCACCTTGGGTATTTTGTGGTTGGTCTTTTTTTTATTATTATTTCTTCCTTTCTTTCCTTGGTGTTCACACTATTTATTGGTTTGAAATTACTTTTTCAGGTAATTTCCTGAGGCATCTCAGTGAACAACTGTGACTTCTAGCAGCAAGCTTTTTTAAAAATATATTTTTCTTCTTTTCTTTACAAATACAATAGAAACTGATGTTAACATCCTTTACAAATACAAAACTATTGCATCCCAATGAAGAAAGAGTTAAATCTTCAGGTGAAAACACACCTGAAAAAGACAAGCAAAAATGCACCTGAGTCACCACTAAAGGTTGCACCAATATGCCACAAAACCAGTGTTAACAGGCATCTAGATTCTTGCTAGGTATAACACTAATGTCTGGATTTCTTTTGATATGTCCATAGTGACCTACTTGCAAACTACTGTAGAAAGCAGCTACTTCCCATTCTGGGAACAGCTGGGCAAGGCCCACCACCTCTGCTGGGTTCCTCGCAGGAGGAGGTGGTTGGGACCCATCAGTTAAACCCTTGTGTACAGGACTGTATCTCATTTGTCTCCACAAAAAATGCCTGAGTGAAATGCATGAGGTCTGCACTTAAAAGCCAGAAAAAAACACATCCCTGTCTCCAAAGTGGAAAGGCCCCTCTACCACATGGCAAATTTTACTGAGGTATCTTAATGTGAACATGACTAACTTTCAGGAAAAAACCCTAACTGTGTCCTATTTCTTCCTAGGAAAATGTCCCAGGGAAACACTGAGCCCAGACAGACCTTCTCTGCAAGCACAATGATTGCAGCACACTGCGACTCTTGTCAGCAATAATTATAGTCCAGCACAGTAGAAACCTAATTTTCAAGAAAGGCAGGTAGAAAGCAAGCAAAAACCCGAAGAGGTGGAGGGAAAAAAAAAGCAGCAGGATAGAAAGCAAGGCTGAGGTGGAAGGGCGGGGAGCAAGGGAAAGAAATTATCTGACTTTAGACTATCAAAAGCACTCATTTTAAAACAGCTCTGCTTTCTGTTTATCACCAGCTCCATTCTTGTTTGACAGATTACTTTTTCTTTCATTTTCCCTTTCCTCTACATGGTTTCTGGCTCAGCAGGGTCAGTTTAACCTAATATGATGTCATCTGTTGTTTTTATGCCTTCACACTGATACTTCATTGAACCTCTTATCGGCAAAGTCAGGTAACAGCTAACTTACCTGATAGCAGTGAACACCAAACAGACTTTCAGAAATTATCCACACACAGAAAGTCAGAGTTAATTACACTTCCACTTAGGCCTGCCCAAGTTCTGTATGCATGTAGATGCAAGGTTACCTTAGAAATACAAATCACTGCTGACCATATGCAGATGTGTATATCTGGTCTCCTTAATGACAGCTGCCAAATCAAAGGACCAGGTTGTCATAGTTCCAGACACCAGTGTATAATATTTTCTATTACTCCACAATACATCAAGCTGAGTGGTTGGTGTCACCCCGGTACCAGCAGCACTGCGGACAGGTGGTGCACGCGTGGGGAGGGGGATGTTTGCAGCATTGGTACCACCCGGAAGGGGTGTGAGGGTCGGCTTGGGGAGGGGGTTTCCCACGCGGAGCACAGCCGGTCGTTGTTCGGACCTCATGGTGGGTGCTTAGCGCAGAGGGAGCGTCATTTGTTAAGCAGATTGATCTAGGAGTCGGGGTTTGAAAGTTCTTGTTTCCTCTCCGTGCTCTCAGCTCCTGGGCTGATTGAAGGTTTTTTTCTCTGTTTGTCTTTTCCTTCTTTCTAGGGGTTTTTGGATTTATTTTTCTGCCTTGCCTAGAACTCAGCTCTGTCCGCCCATGGGTGGTGAGATCCCGTATCATTCGTTCTATTTTTGTTATTTTGATTACTTATTATCAGTAGCATTGTAACTCCATACGTTTCATTTATATAATTAAATAGTACTTATCTCAACTTATATGAGCCTCCCTTGTTTTCCTCCAACCCTTCCTCATGGAGATAGGGGGTGTGTGGAGTGGTAGAGTAACAGGTGGTGCTTAATTGCCACACAGGGCTAAACCACAACAGGTCTTTTTTGGCGCCCAAGGCGAGGCTCGAGAGAGTTAAGAAACAGATCACAGTATGTGATAAGCCCGTGAAAACAATGTGGTGGTGGCTGATCCAGGTGCTGAGTTCGGGGTTTTTCAGGCTGCTGACCGAATGGCAGGATCTGATGCCTTATGTGCTACAGATCACCGTGATTTTTTATGTGTGAGCCCGGCTGAGGGGTTTGGTCAGGCTGTTTTGTGTGCTGCTGATGCTGGCAGGGATACTCTACCTCTATCTGTACTTAATATTGTCGGCCCCCTGCTACATTGTGGTGAGTTATCTCCTGGAGGCTTTCCACAATTACACCTCTCCCTTTTACCCCTCGGGGACACAGCTGATAGAGAAGAGGTTATTTGGTGCTGGGGTGGATGTGGAAAAATTTTTTTAATTTTTTCCCTCTCCTCTCGGTCCGATGGCAAAGGCATACGAGAATTTTGGATTCGGTGACCTGTGGCCAGGGATCAGCTTGCTAGTAAATGTTCTAGTGGCTTTGGGTAAAGTTAAGGAAATGTTTGGGAGCGCTGCCCCCTCTGCTACCAGTGCCATGGGCAGACACAGGATTTGTGCTGCC